CCGATGTGAATAGTGTATAAGCTACATTCTACACTATTTTTTCAATTCAAAATGATACATGTAGCATTGTAAATGTGTCCAATAAATAGAGTGTGTAGACTTAGCCATAATTAATAAGTACCTGTAATTGTTGTATCTATAAAGATATATCTCTAATAGACATCTATGCGTCAGTAATACAGTTACAAATGCAAAAAAAAAAACCACTGTCGCTTCGTAATATATACTCTTTAAAAACGCATAGTAGAATTTTATTGACACATTGAACACACGGGTACTTGTGGATATCCCCCCCCCCCGAACAAAAAAAAAATAGTCAACCCCGGGGCTTCTTGGAGTATTTTCACAAATTATATTTATTACACCCATTCATCATAAGTACAATAGAAAAAAAAGTGAGATCTCTCTGATAATGTATAGTTGGGTATTTTTTGTGAAGCGATTATTTTGGGGTTTAGCTATTTTTTCTATTGTCAAATGAGCCGTATGTGGCTGTGTACTGTGAGATTGCAATACAGCACTAGGATGCTGCAAAATTGAATAGGCATTTGTAGGGAGATTATGGTTAGAGTACCTATTTCAATGAAAATCCTTTGAATTCTTACTTTCGCAAAATTCCGTTTTCCATTTCAATACACTACCAACACCAACTTTTTTAACATCCTGGAGACAGTTATCAGTCTTAAGTTCATTACAAAGCATTATCACTCTTTAACTTATAAAAGGCTTTCCGATAAACATTATGGATTAGTATCTCGTAGGCAACTGAAAACTGTCTTGTTAAATTATCTGTGCAGTTCGGGGATAGCTAATGCTTTAGATGACGTCATTGTGTTACATTAATGCAATTTACATTATCCTCTAAAGTGATGCTGTGCTGCTGATGTCACACGTAGTGTACCGTATTTTTGCCAACATTGGATGTTCGATGTTAACGGTTTATGTTTTATAGGTCAGATTGATCGATTGATTGTATATTGTTTAACGCCGAGTCCGCAATTTTCAGCCATATTTCGACGGATTATATGTTCGATATATAGCTGTTCGAAACATTAAATATATAGCTGTGCGAAACGTTAAATTAAAACCTCTTGCAATTGTAGACTGTGGTACCCCTGCTTCCAGTCGCCAATTTTCTTTTTTGTGCTAGGCAACATTCAGAAACAGCAGTTTTAGAAAGTGTCAATTTTCAAATAAAACCAAATTCAAAATATCGAGAACCCCTGCTTTTTATAGCCCTTTTAAACCTGAAAGAATTGCAGCAGAAATCAACAAATTGATATTGAGATCAAAACTTTTGGAGGAATGTTGCAAAATCAGGTTTATTTTGTCTCTGAGAATTGTAGAATAGCTGTAAAGTTAACAATTGCATAAAAAAAATGCATTTCAGCCGAATGCAATCTTTCCAACTACAAAAAGGGGTATGGCAAAACTATATATATAATTTGCAGGGCATTGTTCCTAATATGCCTTTCTTTTTTTTGGGGGGGGGGGGTGAGTTTATATAAAATGGTCCTTCTTACTGTTCGGAGGAACTGTAAAATGCGAAACCGATTTAGGAAAACAACGTAAAAGTTTCGATGATTGAGCTTGTACTTTTGAATTGTTACAAATTTAAACAATGATTTCTACTAATCAGATTAAAAAAAGAGTTGATGTTAATGAGAGGAAACTACACAGTTAGCTCTTTATTAACTTGTTTCAACTTTTTTATTATCTATTCCATCAATTTCATTCAATTATAACGAGGTGAAAAATTAAAATACACGGCAGAGAGTTTTTACAAAAAGCACGTTATAAAGATTTGTCACGTTTTAGCATCGTGCATTTGTATAACATTAAAAGTATAGATGATTGCAAACGGTCAAAAATTTGAATTTGTGAACAAGAAATGATTATAAAAAGATAGATTCGAACCTTTCGTTTTTAAATTTTGCCCAGCATTTTACTTCTCTCCTATTGTATGATAGATAATTTCAATTATATGAAAAATTGTTCTATCTTGATCATTTTATGACAAGAGTTGAACAGGTCATTCTTTACCTGATTATTACTTTTTATTTGTAATATTTATATAGATAAGCATTTAGATGAGAATAATGTATCAGGCAAAAAGATACATTCTACACTATTTGTTTTAAACCTACTATAATGATAGGATTTAATGATTCATGTTATAAATAGATTGTGTACATTTCAATTTTTTTAACAGTCACTGAAGCAAGGAAACATTTAAATGACGTCCTGCATTCAAGCTAAGATCTTTTATGTGGGTCTGTAGGTTAGTCTAAGAGGGAAACGACTGCGAGTAAAAGTCTGATAGCTGAGTTTGAGCATTTAAACAATCACAAATTGAAACAATATCTCTTAATAATCAGAGTTATTAAAGAGTGAACAAAAGAGAAGAAATTATGTGGTAAACAGCTATTTTGTTACTTGTTTCATTTTATAATTTTTTGAATTCGGTCAATTTCATTGATTCGTATTCAGTTCTAATTTTAGTCCATGATGAGTTATAAATTCTAATACTGAACAAAGTAAAGTTAGTTTTTTTATTAGATTGTGTCAAAATGTTCAGACATTTGCAATCACATCTGCAAAATATCTACCAAATTATTTTGACAAATTAAAATTTCAGTTAATTTTTGATTTGTCAAATCGATAAAATAACTACTGTGTGCACCAGTATTCCTTCATATTGAAGTGTCCGGTAGTATATAATGTAAATCTTGTTTGTACTTATTTTCGAATTTGCACTATTGGTTAATTCTTTTATCCGTATGCATGCAATCTTATTGAGAATTTTTAGGGATGAGAATGTCTATTGGAATACTTCATACATGGTTAAATTTATTATCAATTTCATATTTATTTGCTGACAATTTTGACTACGAAGACAAAAACACCAATATTGTTTCATTTCTTCCAGTTAACTGCTCCCAACGTGAAATGTTTATCTACTAGTAAATAATTTCTATGAAATTCGCCAATAAGAAATGTCCCTAAAAAGATAGATTCGTCTTTCCAAAATTCTGGCAAGCATTTTACTTCCCTTCCGTTTTAAGATAATTTTTTTCAATTATTATCACGAACTCTTTGTTCAAATATGTACACCTGAAAACGGATTTCCCGTTTGTCCAATATAATATTCTTGACACACGTCAAAAAAAACTAAATGCCAGGGTTCGTGTGCACAAACAACAAATCAAAGACCCTAGTATGCGTAATACACCGTGTTGTGAACATTTCGCAAAATGTGGCAAAGGAATATTTAAGATTTTCCCTTTTTATAAACTCCCAAATGAAAACGAAATTTAGCTCTGGTCAATAGTCTTTTTAAATATGGCGGTTGTCTTTGGCGGTTGTCTTTGGTTTTAAAAAGACTATTGACCAGAGCTAAATTCAACACCACTCCAGAACAATATTCCGTAACAAGATGCGGTGATCCGAGATGCGGTACCTGTCCTAACCTACGAACAGGATCCTCTATTATTTTCAAGTGTGGAAAAACATTTCTTGTGAATGAAAATATGACCTGTAAGAGCAAAAACCTCCTTTATTGTATTACGTGTAACAACTGCGGAGAGGAATACATCGGCCAGACCGGGACCCAATTAACCGCCCGCATGCGCGTACATCGCCAACAAATTAACAATCCGAGCCTCAGAAACACGCCATGCAGTGAACATTTCGATATTTGCTCACAAGGAAACTACTGTGTGTTCCCCTTTTATAAACTTAGGAACGATTCCACTGCAATGAGATTAGCAAAAGAAAACTACTTCATAAATCTTTTTTCACCAAAACTGAACAATCATTAACATTGAGAAATTACCTAGTTTTATATATCATCAATTAGAATTTCTGTTTACTTTGTTTATTGAGACTGAAAAATATGTGATTTATTGTCCATTATTGTCCAATTTGATTTTCCCTAACTTTTACGTAACGTAGCCATACTATGACGTCATAGATTACCTCCTTCCCTGCAAAGACTCTCATGACGTCATGACGTCATAGTTAACGTTACTATGCAAAACAATCAGTTCAATTTATGTACACCTGAAGACGGATTATGAAATCCAGAAAGCGCTTGTGTTAAATGAAATTTGGAAACTTCATTTTCTTTTTCTTTTATAATTATTTTCACCTGTGTGACATCGACTGTGAACTATTTTCAACTATATATATATATATATATATATATATATATATATATATATATATATATATATATATATATATATATATATATATATATATATATATGATTAATCTTACTGTTCGGAGAGACTGTAAAATGCACAACAGATTTACATGAAGAAGAACGACTGACTTGAAGAAGTTGCGAAGAATGAGCTTGAGCATTTAAACTGTTACACAATTAAAGAATGATTTCTTCTAATCAGATTTAAAAAAAAGATTGGACATTAATTGGAGTAAATTACACGGTGAACTCTGTACTAACTTGTTTAACTTTATTTATTATCTTTTCAGTCAATTTAATTCATTTGTACTCTTTACTACTTTAAGTCATAGAGGGGTCTTAATATATAAAAAGATAGAGTTTTATGTAACATCATAATTTTCAGATATTTAAAAAAAACAATACAGAAACATGTATATATTATTTCAGACAGAAGAATTCAGAATTGCAAGATAAATACATATAGTCTCTAACATGCCTCATGCAATATTTATTTCATTTTTCTTCTTTCAGAATTAAATCATGGGCGATATTGAGTTCCTAAAAGGTCCCACAGAGCTATTGTTTTTCTATATATGCATTTTAATCATGGCAAGTATATTTCAAAATGATTTGAAATAAATCAAACAAGCATTTACATGTACAGTATGGACTTGAATGCTGCAGTACTTGTTTAATTTAAAAAAAGAAAGACTTTTTTCAATGGATAATATCATTTGCGGTTATATCTCCTAAGACTCAGATAACTAGTGTTCAATGCCCCCATTATAAAATCTATACATCAATAGGTTTCTCTACAGGGAGATGCTTTTTATGCTGTTGAAGGATTGATTATGGATATTGAGTTTTGCGAAGTTTCAAAACTCACAAGAACAGTAGTGCGCAATTGTGCAAAAGATCTTGCTGGAGTAAAGGAAGCTGCTAGAAAGAAGAACTGTTCAGCCATTAAAAGTACTTGTTTAGGGAGATTAGAATACCACTGTGTTATTAATCCTTGGGGAAATCTTACAGTGGAAGTGTGTGCTCCAGCCACTAACATTTCAAAAGGTAAACAAAGTCTAGTCGGTTAAAATATTAATTTTGCAAATGTTTTTGGAGGAAACTATGTTGTCTTGATAGGGCCATTTGCAAAAGCTTAACAGCCATGGCGGTAACATCCAACACGCTCTCATGCTAACACGAATTCGCACAACACGCTCACGCTTCAACACCCAACGCACTTTCATGGTAACACGAATTCGCACAACACGCCGTCACAGTAACATCCAACACGCTGTCACGCTGCAATGTAACACGAGTTTGCAGAACACGCCGGCGTGGTAACAACCAACGCGCTGTCACGCTAACACGAGTTCGCACAACACGTCGTCGTGCTAACACACAGCGCACCGTCGTGAGTAGTGTGTGAGTGCAAGTGGACGTGTTGTGAGAATTTGTTTTAGCGAGACAACACTTTAGGTGTTGGCGCGACGGCATGCTATGCGAACTCTTGTTAGCGTGACAGTGCTTGTGTGTTAGCGCGACGGCGTATTTTTCTGATTTCGCTGCTGAACTTTTGTAATTGATTTTATTTGACATTATAGGAACCCCCACAGAGATTAAAGCAATATGAGCTGAATGTTTGACATCGGAGACATTTTTGCAAATTTTTAATTAACTATTTCAATGACCGAAAATAGAACATTTATAAACTTCTGTTGTTCAAATTTTCTACGAAAGAACTTTTTATACGCTTTGATTGAAGCAAAATTGAATTATTGTCGTCTTGTACAGTATTGATTTAATATAAAATTCTGTATAATCATTTGTACAGATTTTTTCCTCTGAAACATTTATAAACTTTATTTTGGTTTTATTGATCATAAGGGTATAGATTACCTACAGATTAATTATAATAACACATTTTACCAGCAAAATAAAATTCTCAAAAATGCAGCTCATATTGCTTTAAAAGTTAATTCACTACACACCAAAAAGATTCTTATTGTATTTTTATAACAGTTATTTCCTTGAATTTTCTATCAAAAATAGTGTTAAATATCAAAATTAAATTTAAGAAAAATTAAAATTTAATTAGTTGTAACTTTATTTTGTATACATTATGTAGAGGCTTTATATAAAATAGTGACTTGTAGGATATTGCACTGAGTACAATGAAGGTGGCGGGAAAATACAAGAGCATTATAACAGAAGATGTTCAGCATGCAACAAAAAATATGTATCAACAGATGCATACAAATGTAAGTTATTTCCCTCTGATACAATGTAACTGTATTTAATTGTTTAGAATTTTAAGCGAACCTCTTTTTTTGCAAAAACGTTTTAAATAGTACAATGACTTTTAAAGACTCTTTTTATTCATGCAGATGTTTTTGGTTTGATGACTGTTCATTATCTTTAACTTTTTTTTTATATATTGATTAAGATCTTCCATGTTTAGACAAAATTAGCATCATAAAGATTTCTTAACAAATAATAGCAATGTGGCCGAAACTTTAACTAAATTCTATTAGTTAAGGCAATTTTTAAAAAAGGAAGATTCTGTTTTACTTTCTCTTGTTGTAATTAAAAAAGCTGATGATTTTGTCCTGGTTTCGACCCTATGATTTTTTTTTATTAAAGAAATACGGTCAAACGATTTTATTTCTTGATGTTATCAATCGAGTAGCCGGTGGGATAATTTGAAACTCTGAAACAAGCCAATCTATTGATTTTCATCATGAAATAAAAATATCTGACAGTTATTCCTAATATTTAAATGCTCTTGATTCCGCCAATCCACGTGCTACAAGCCTCGATTCTGAGTCTATTTGTTTCGTCCCGCACCTTGTATTTTTTTTATTGCGCCTATCGATGAACCAGTTCATTTATGTAGAAATAAAGTACATTACCTATTTATAACTTTATCTAACACAAAGACATTGGAAATTCAAATATTCTTAAATATTTGTGATCTTGTGATGTTAATTTAAAAAAAAAAAAAAAAAAAAAAAAAAAAAAAAAAAAAAAAACCTACAGAACAGTATGGAAAGAACAAGGTTCACTTTTGCCTTATTTGGTCCTGTGAATTTCTGAAAAACTGAAACTGCATAGTTTTTGTTCATAATGCATTGAATATCACTTAGATCTTTGGTGATTGCGTATCTATCAAAAATGACGCAATTTTCTGGCTATTCAATGCATTATGACGTCGCGAAATGCGCCAATTTCCTCATATTCTGAAAAAGTCTACAAAAACGGTCGATTTTTAAAGCTATTTTTCGATATTTAATATAGATCGCAATCTCAGATCTGAAATATGCAACAAGTAAATGATAAAACTGTTTCTGAGGATTAAAATGCATGTTTTATTGTTTAGATCAGAGAGTGCGCTCATATTATTTTTCTTCATTGAAATCACTCAATTATACCTGTTTACCTAAAAAATCAAGAACATTGCAAGTTCATAGAGTCAGTTCTCCAAAACCTGGACTTTTAGGAGAAAAAATTTAATAGAAAAAGAAAGCACTAAGTCTCTATTTTATTTTAATGCTTCAAATGGAAAATCAAGTGTTGATCAATTAATTGGTATATCTACAGGGCCATTTTATGCAGAAACCGTCTTCTTTGTTGAACCACTTTTAATAATCAAGTTTTTTATATTTAAAACAAATCTCAACTCAAAATTTTGTAGACATGAAATGATTTTTTATAATTTATTTTATTATTTGATACTTAAGTTTCTACAATAAAATCGGCGGTACTGTGATCAATGAGCTCACTAAATGATACCCCGCCTTCCATATGGTTATAATGGCAAAGTCCATGATTCGATTTGCTGTGGCCGGGAATCCCAAAATATCTGTCGGATCAAAAAGTAAAATAAAAGGTGCACGATGGCAATATGTAATAAAGATTATGTGAAAGTTTCCTTAAATTTCACTCAGTAGTATAAGAGGAGTTGCGGATAAGAGATGGGTACCCCAAAGAGAACAGATAGAAGGACGGACGTACAGCCAGACGGAAGTACAGACAGCTAGATGGACGGACGGGCATACCGATTATAGTAAAACCTCCCACTTTTCAAGTGGGTAGTATAACAAAATTCATAGGCATAAAACTGTTGTTCTTTGTACATGTATATGCACCCTAGAAAACATGTTGCCATTTAAATATAGAATTCTTTTAGAAGAAGCGCAAGTAGAACTGTTTGAAAGTGAAATGTAAGGGAAAGGACAAGATAGGCTAGTTCCCATTTTGACCTCTGATTTGGGCTGTCTTTTAGAATGATTCAAGAGTTTTATAGCAACAAAAAACTGTCGTCGTCCTTACCCAAAATTAGCATTGATTCCTAGTTTTGGGATACACAGAGGTTATAAGAATTGTCAATTTTCGTTTTTTAATTCAATTGTATGTAAATTCTTATTGATTTTAATTAACTAATTAACTAATGGGCCAGAATATTTTGATCCTTACCATACTTTGTCCTCTGAAAATTTAAGAGTGCAAAATACCAAATATAAACTGACAGTATAAACAAATTTGAATACACTGAACCAAACTTCTAAGTGTTCACCTCAGATTTTTGAAGATTTAAAGAACAAATGCAAACAATAAATAATTTCTTTAATTCTTGGTTAATGATGCATATTTAAGTTCGTTGTTGCGTAAATTTCATGTAAGTATTTCGTCAGAATTTTAAGCAAAGTGTCAAGGAAATGATGTACCCTCAAAATTCTTGGTTAATGATGCATATTTAAGTTCGTTGTTGCGTAAATTTCATGTAAGTATTTCGTCAGAATTTTAAGCAAAGTGTCAAGGAAATGATGTACCCTCAAAATGAAAATTCGCACAAAAAAACTCGATGAAGTAAGACCCACTGCTCCCTCTAATTACTTCAAGACAATCTTTATTGTTGGATACCATGTACCCCTGAATAGGAGATTGACCCATCTGCTGCCACACCTACATGTACTGCATACTAGATATTTCCAAACCATTGAAATTGTGAGGAAAAGGGGGGGCTTTGACATTTTTTTAAAATCCCAAATGTGTTCAATGGGATTCAGATCCGGGAATTTGACAGTGTATCGTCACACAAGTACCTTTTGGTCAATATATCCTTGGATGTTTAGCACGTAAGTGCGCCGCTTTAAGGATAATTCAGACTGCTTGAGCTGATATAAGATTGCAACTAGGATTTTTTCAGAACAATTAAACACTCCCTTAACCTGGTATAATGCGAAATTTTCTTCCCGGATGAATATTAAAGTCACTTCCGGAGTGGTTAAATTTTGTCAAAAACTTTCAAATTGTGATAAATTGGTGACGAAAAATGAGCACAGCCTACAGAAAAATGTGTTTAAATGGGCTTTGATATTGTTTGATAATTTTTAAAAGTAATATCAAGTACAATTAAGCACTAAAATGAAAATGAGTAAAACGCGGTGCGATGATCGTCCAGATATAAATATTCCAACGGCTCTCCCTTCTACATCAATGGTTATTTTGCCAATGTTTTGTGTTTTTTAGTGAAACCATTTATCAAAATTTGATAATGATCACAAAAAGATGCTTATTACACAAAACATGTGCTGCAAAGTACAGATTTATTGTTTTTAAGCTTCGTCACGGAACACTGGTTTTCATCGGTGATATTGAATTTTCGTTCTATATTTGTTGAGAGAAGGATATGGAGATAACGGACAGTATTCAATCTCAACGTCCATTAAACAATATACAAAATAAGAGCAGAAGACACATTTTTTGTAATAATGTGAAAATATCATATCATTCTATAAAGTAGTTTTCTAAATAAATACATTTATTAAAGTGAACACCTATAAGTTTTGTTAAGTGTAGACTTATCGACTGAAAGCGACCATTGTTAAAAAAGAGGAAATATATCAGAAATCAATACCCCTAATAGTACATCAATGAATTAAAAAAAAAATGTTTCATAGCATAATCTGGATTATAAATGATCAGTTTTATTTTTAAATAGTTAATGTTCCGTGAGTAATGGTATTTCCAGGTGGCGCAACATCACAAATAACGACGGTTCCTTTATAATTAAGTGTATCTTAGAAAAAACTCTCATGATATGTTCATTTTTTTCATACCAAAATTTGTTTTATTCAGTCATGTGATATAATGTAACTGTTCTATAAAAAAAAATTGCAATTTCTTTTTTAATTCCATAAATTTTATAAGGGTTTTGTAAATCATATATTGCATGTTCAAAAAACAAAGTCGTCGAAATGACGTTACAAGAGAGAAAAGTTCCTTTTTCTCCAACATTCTATACATAAAGTTTTGCTCCTAGAATATTGATTGTTTATATAATTAAATGGACTGCAGAGAAATAATTTCCATTGATGACAATTGTTTTTAAATGCTGGAAAAGATTCAGGCAGATAGGGGATGCCAAAGTCTATATTTAGTAGTTGTATAAAACGTAAGTCACGTCGAAAAGTGACCTTGATCATGTGTGATAGGCTTAGACATTGAACTCCGGCAAAGAAATATGGTATACATAAGACGGCATAGACCTCACTTTACTCCAGAGAAATTAATCAAGATAAATGTACAAGTTAGAGGGAGCGGACGTTGAGAAAAAAATGACGTTCTCGGACAACTTTAAACTGAATGACAACAACAGTTTATCACGTATTGTCTTATGGGAAATCAACAATATAAAATGTTCAACATTTTAGAAACGCTTTCTGTTTTCTGTTTCTTATAAATAAATTAAAATCATGTCGTCACAGACTTCAATGTACTGCATTATGTAATTTTAATACATCAGTCCACAATATTTTCGACAACTCCTCCTAGTCCGCTTTATGAACAACGTTCTTATGATAACGTGTACATAAAATCATTTTCTGTACATGTATACATAAAAGTATTTCTTATATATTTTTGCATTAATAGATCCAGAATGCTACCCAAGGCAGAAAGCTGACGTGCCTGAATTATTACTTTCAGGAATACCAAGACCTCAAATATTGGAAAAATCAAAAGAACGGTATTTATTATTAGTGCATTCATTTTCACAGGTATTTTTTTTTATTTTAAAACTATATACATGTACATAATTGTTGCTTTAAGATAAAATGATGTTAGTTTGACTCTGTCTGACAAATTCTTCATAATATTCTCAATAGATTTGACTGTCGAAAAAAAACCATTGTTCTACATGTACTTTATGAAAGTCATCTCGTTTTGAAGATGAAGTCATATCTGTATTATGATTTTTTTTCTGCATTCAAGGTTTCCACACGTCAATGGTGATAATGGATTAAAAGCCTACGCCTGTGTAGAAAGAAAGTCGTTCCTCATCCTATTATATGCTGTGTTCCTTTTAGCTAGTTTTTGTTCTGCTTGATTTTTGTTTATTTTATTTAGTAAAAATTTAATATATGTTTAATTTGGTTAGTTTTATTTGATATTAGTGCGGAAAATGCGTTCGGCGGGGGGTTGGGGTTGGGGGAGGGGGTTGGTGGGGGGGGTGTTGGTGGGGGGGTCGTAACCAGACTCTTAATTTTGTCTATAAATATTTATATCGCTAAATATAACGACATTTACATTTGCGAATAATATTATAGAAACATACGTACCGTGCTAAAAGAAAACATGGGCAATAGGCCACATCGCTCACATGAACTTTCTTGATGCCGTTCTTTACCAGATTTCCCTGGAATTATCTAATGTGTCCCCGCCCTATCTCCCCACTGGGTCATGATTTTAACAATTCTGAATGCTAACTGCTCCAGAATGCTTCCATATAACTTTCAGGTTTTCTGACCCATTTGTTACTCAGAAGAGTACATATAAAGATTTTTCCTACATGTATATATTTCTATGTTAAATTTTGATTCCCTATTGTGGCCAAGCCATATTTTGGAGGTCATGATTTTCACAATTTGGAATCTACATACCCCCCCCCCCCCTCCCTAAGTTTCAGCTTTTCTGGCCTGTAGATCTTTACAAGTAGATGTTAAAAGAATTTTCATATATATTTTATGCAAAACTTGGATTGTCTATTGTGGCCCCGCCCTACATCAAAGGTTCATTATTTTGACAAATTAGGATTTAAACTACTTTAAGAATGTTTCCATTCAAGTTTTAGCTTTTCTGGCCCAATGGGTCTTGAGAAAATCTTAAAATAATATTCCTGTATATTGCATAGTAAAAGTTTAATTCCTTATTGTTGTCATGATTTGAACAATTCAAAATTTGCACTTTTTGTCACTTAAGTGTAACTGAAAAAATCTTATGATATGAAGATTTGACATCCAAAAATTCCGATATTTCAGGTATGCTTTGGGACACTATTGTTTCATAAAATATGGACGCAACTATGTTAAGGGCTACCCAAAGGTAGAACAGTGTATGCAGAGCCTCGGGAATTCAATTATGACGTCACGGTGAAATTGTACAAATGAATATCGGCGAATAAATAATGATTTTCTTTTTCATATACTCTTACATACTTTCATTTCTCATGTTTATTGTAAATATTAATCAATGTGTAACTTATCTTGTCAGTATAACACTAATCGAATTCAAAATCAAAGCCAACTTGATCTCGCTGTACTAACAGATATGACGTCATAGGCTAGTTTGACACGCAGTTTCTCTGTACTTCAGACGCAGATAAAGCTATTAATGGAACTGAAAATATGAAAATTAAATCTATATAAGCGTGATCTGACTACAGTTGATTCATATTTTTGAATGCATTAATCAATAGTTCACAGTCTTATTTAATTAATAACTATTAGGTCTCTTATAAAGCCGAAGTCATGCACTTTTATATAGAAACGTACACTCAATCATATGTACAACTCCTCCAAAATCTCAAAAGTTCAACGATATCCGCTTGATTACAAATAATAATATTTTATACACATGTAGATACTGTCCCTACTACTTTGAAAAGTGCTGGGAGCAAGTTGTGCGCTTTCTATCTTTTCCGTAGTTTTACATTTCTTCAATGCGTATAGTGTAAATGCACATACTTTATCAAAAGTCGGCTAAATTTTATATAATTCCCGGGCAGTGAGAAGTTGCTCCCAGCACTTTTCGGGTCAAGAAATTTGTCTTAAATAAAACACAATCAATTTCATAGTGAAAAATTATCCGTATATCGTTGAACTTTTACGATCTTTGTATCCGTACATCTTTTTTCTAATTTTAAACATGTCACATGACAAACAGCTGATGTACATGAAGTCGCTTTGGCCGAACTCGGTTGAGACCCCATACATACATATGCATTAGTAAAGTTCACATTAAATTAAAACTAATGCTAATAAAAAAAATATTAACATTATATTGATTTTTTCGGAATATTTTAAGGCTTGTTTCTTATGGGCGGCCTTAACCTAGCTGCGGAATTTTTACCTCATTCAATAAGTTCTATGATATTTGGGGGTTGGTCGGTGGGGTGGGGGTGGGGGGGGGGTCGTAACCAGACTCTTAATTTTGTCTATAAATATTTATATCGCTAAATATAACGACATTTACATTTGCGAATAATATTATAGAAACATACGTACCGTGCTAAAAGAAAACATGGGCAATAGGACATATCGCTCACATGAACTTTCTTGATGCCGTTCTTTACCAGATTTCCCTGGAATTATCTAATGTGTCCCCGCCCTTTCTCCCCACTGGGTCATGATTTTAACAATTCTGAATGCTAACTGCTCCAGAATGCTTCCATATAACTTTCAGGTTTTCTGACCCATTTGTTACTCAGAAGAGTACATATAAAGATTTTTCCTACATGTATATATTTCTATGTTAAATTTTGATTCCCTATTGTGGCCAAGCCATATTTTGGAGGTCATGATTTTCACAATTTGGAATCTACATACCCCCCCCCCCTCCCTAAGTTTCAGCTTTTCTGGCCTGTAGATCTTTACATGTAGTGTTAAGTGTAACTGAAAAAATTCTTATAATATGAAGATTTGACATCCAAAAATTCCGATATTTCAGGTATGCTTTGGGAAACTATTGTTTCATAAAATTTGGAATTTTTACCTCATTCAATAAGTTCTCTGAAATTTTATCGTGAATTTAACATGGAGTGTCCAAATAAATTAAACCTTGAAAATTACGTAAAAAATGGGGAAGGGATTTCTTTTTCTAGCATTCTATAAAGTGTTGCTCCTTTAAAACTGGTATAGACCTAGGCAATGAGTAAACTGGATATGGAGATATAAAATGCACCCAGAGAATTAATTTGATTTTTAATAAAAAACAGATTCAGAGAAAAGAAGGATGTACAGTTAATGTCGATTTGTAGTCAAGGTGTGAAAAACAATTACGTCAAAAATGACGTCGATCACGTGTTGAAGATATTGATCTCTAAGAAGAAAAATTTGCTGGGACAATCAAACAAGGGTCACTCCGAATGTGTAAATCAATTTGCAATATTGTATTTATTGTAAGCTGCTGTTTACGATAATTTTAAATCATTTAAACATTGATAAACATGGGACGTGTTTACGCAGCACTGTTGAGGCTAGAAAAAGGAGGCGGGGCCTAATTTATACGGGAAAAGTTTACTGTGACGTCACACAAAAATATTACTTTTATGCATTCCTTATATTACCGGAGAATAAAATAATTTGCAACTTCAAACTGCATGAGCATAATGAACATTAATAAAACTTATCAATGCATTAACAAAAGTCACTAGTTAAATCCCATACGGCTGGTTATAAACAAATCACTGATCTCGATGAACTTGTCAATCATGACATCATTTTAACGTATTTCATGTGCTGTAAGAGGCAGATTTGGAAATTTTTTAACAATGAATAATGCATTTTACTATTAAACAGAATATTATTTACAGGTTTTAAATAGACTAATAATACCAATATTTATCCTTTGTTTAGTGCGTTTATTCATTTACTTTCGAGAGAATGTATTCAAATAATTCTGTCGTGTTTAGATGTTTGGATAAGGTATATTTTACATCGAGGTGCCTCATAAAATTGTCCTTTCGCAAGGGCATACACTAAATAAATCTTGACCATTTTTTGAATATAAATAAAGGATATGTTCCTTAACTTGAAAAGTGCTGCTGCTTTCTTTAAATCGAGAGCGTGACTTTATATGTACAAATATTTTTTTTTAAATCAAGCATCTTTCGACATGGGCCTATTTACTTGAAATTTTAACTATTATAACGCGAATTCTATTCAAAGCAGCAGCACTTTCCAGAAGGTTCAAAGGATGCAGAAACAATTAATAGCTTGAGTTTTTTTTATTTCAATTAGGGTATGTCATTGCGATATTGAAATTTGTTAATGACCTACGTTCAGTACACGTACCATGCATTCATCACGTGACTGTCCATCGATGGGACCAAACTTCACACAGTACAGAGTAGATTATACTACGGTATTTCCATAAGTATTTAAGTTCTGTGATAATAGAACAGCTGAATAAAAATAAATTTACTTTTAAAAACAATTCCCGTTTTTGCACTTCTATTTTCCGTTGATTTCTCATAGTAGGCCTTAACAGTGCTGCGTAAGTCCTTGTTCAGGTCCAGTGAATCAGGCCGTATCAAAATAAGTGTATGAGGTAGTAGAACCGGACGTTGAAAAACAACGGCGCTGTCGTACGTCATGGAATTTAACGGCGAAGGCGTCAGGTGATCTTATAATGTCGATTTTTAAAAAATAAATATTGATTTTTTTAAATAAATTGGCAAATTATGAATGTACGAGTATAAAGCAAAACTAACTATTTTCAATTAATTTTTGCTTTATGTTCCTAACAAATTTTGAAGGCACAAACTAAAGTACATAGTAATAATTTTATAGCCTCAGTCCACTTTTGATAACCCCTCGTATATCAATAGATATAATATTTTTTATTTCATTTGATTTCACAATTCCAAGTATTCTGATTAGATGAGATCAGATCGATTTTTATAAAATCGTATTAGGACCCCTGTCTGGATCCGCGATGCATTCTACATTGAATATCACATTTATATTTATGGAAAACTAATGTTTTTAATTCATGCAAGGGTATTATTTGTCAAATTAAATAAATAAAGAAATATTTCTTTTGAAACTGGGAGATAGAGATGTTCTCCCAAGAGAATATCGGGTTTGTATAATTTTTGTTTTGATTTAGATTGGAGATGAATTTTATTGTGTTTTTGAATGAATACAAAACGAAATTAAGGCGGATAGGTTAAAATATATCTCAAAGTATTGACATTTCCATTAATTCGTTTTTAACATCCCTAACAAATTCATATGAAATACCTTGGATGAGTTGCGAGTTTGAGAAATGAATTGCACTCATACATGTAAAAGAAGATGCGTCTATAGTCCTATGAACGCAATAGAT